CCCCGGCCCCCCCAATGGTGTCCCGCTTTACCAATGTTAAAATCTGGTCATCTTACCCATATACCAAGAGTGGCAGGTTCGAACCTGGCCCCAGCCAAATTGCAACAAAAAAATAGCCAGGCATTGTAGCAGGCGCCTGTAGTCCCAGCTACTTGGGAGGCTGAGGCAAGACAATCACCTAAGCCCAAGAGCTGGAGGTTGCTGTGAGCTGTGACATCATGGCACTTTGTGACAAAGTGAGACTCTGTTTCTAAAACAAACAAACAAACAAACAAAAAAGAAATAGACGTGTGTCAGATGAAGCCATGGCATTGGAATGTTGTTGCCAATAGAGTACTTACAGGTGAAACACGATCAAGGCCAGAAACTTAGAAACACCAATAGCTAAGAAAAAAGCAGAAACATAAGTCCTGTCTTTTTGAAAACTTTTACAGACTTTTTGTATGTATCAAAATCATATATTTATTATATAGAGTTTAGTACCCTGGTTCTTTAATTTTTCATTTTATTGAAAAATTACGTTAAGAATAAGTGTAACACAATACTTAGAAAATGTGTCTTTGTAGACAGAAGAAATTTTGTTTCACTACATTTATTTTACAAACTCCATCTGGGCTGGGGAAAACATGGTCAAATTAGTAGTCAGGCCGCTGTGCTCCTTGATGAATTAGGGAGTTTCTTGATTTCTCTTCCCCAAAAGCAGGACAATCAGCTTTTCAATTCTGTGCTTTCTGCAGTAGTGGAATCTACCTTTAAAGCTATTTTTCTTAGTTCAGGGCTTCTCAAAATAGCCTCACCAAAGTTTCTCCAAAATACTAAGAAAAGTCAATAGCTACTGGGAGTATAGATACCCCGTAACAATTTTTTCATTAATCTCCCACTCCCCCCAAAAAGAATGCTGACTTTTGTCTTCTACTCCATAATGGGTTTGCTTTTATATCAAAATCACTTTTAATCCGCTCAATTCCTTAGCCTTTTCCCTTTCTCATTTTCCAGAAAAACGCACCCTTATAATCACTATTTTAGAAATGAAGACAGTGAGGTTTAGAGGTTATTCCTCACAAAGCCATCCATCTGTCCTCACAAACTTAGAACCAGTTTCTCACCAACTCTACAATCCCAAACACCCCTCATACCCTCGGCGACCCACCCGCGAGCCCACCCCAGCTCTGAACATTGCACAAGAGGTGATTTCTCCCTCTCAGCCTCCCCAGCCTCAGAGCAAGCATTGCGAATCCTCTCTCACGGGCCCCTGCCACAGCTCAGGGCCCACAAACCAAAGTCCCACACCGCAGAAACCAAACTCACCCGCAAACAAAGACAAGCATGGCGAGCCGGAGAATCTGCGTCTGCGCACTCCTGTCCAAGACACCCCCAGACCACGACACCTCCAGACGTCTCCCTAGCCCTGTCGGGTCCGGGCTCAGAACCGGACCGAAACCACCGATCCTAGTCAGTCCTCCACCCCACCCACTCCACGCCACTCTTTTGACAGTGGACTACACTTCCCAGGAGGTTCAGGGTTCGAGTCAGGTTTCGCACGAACCTTTCTTCCTCCGCCAGAACTTGTGAGACTGTCTCCTGGCGGGGTTGGGAGCGTTAGCAGGCCGAGTCTCGGGACTCAATTAACATTCTACCTGGGTTTATTCTGCTTCTAGGAGACGGCAGTGGTGTGTCAAAGCGTGTAGTACGCTCAGCACAAGCACAGCTGGACTGACTTCATATAGGAACCACGGAGCAACGCTAGGCCAAGACCCCCAGCAGACTCCCAGATGCGGTTCGGGGATCCAGGGTAATCCTTTGGCCCGACTCAGGGCGGGCGCCATCTTGTCCGTCGCAGGTGCGGCTCTGAACTACATTTCCCAGAGGGCACTGCGCCCTTGGCTCCTCCCCTGCGAGGCTAACCGCTCCGCGGAGCGCAGGACTGGACCTAGGTGCCGGTCTCCAAACGGTTCGGCTCGGCAACCGCATACTGTCAGGTTTCGCGGGACGCCTAAGGTGAAGAGTCTAGAGCCCGGGCGGGGATCAAGACTGAGAATTAAGTCTGTGGAGGTGTAGCGTCCTGAGGCAGGGTGTAATTGTGTGTGACTATGTGTTTGTATGTCCTGGCGTTGTGTGTGTGTGAGATTGTGACTGTGTGTGCGGATGTGGGAGTATTATGTAGCTGTCCTAAGAGTCCCTGTGCTAAGATTGTTGGTATGACCGAGTGTACTGCTGTGTGTGTGGGTGCGGATTCGCTGTGACGGTATCCCTGTGGTGGATGTGAGATTATGACTGTGTGTGACCATGTGTTCCTCTGTGTACAGATACACGGAGCTTTGTGACTGTATGGCTGTGACTGTGTCCCTGCGGACATTGTGACTGTGTGGGCCTTGGAGGGAGGAGGGTACGTGTTACTGAGGGCGACTTTGTGTTCAACGGGGAGTGTGTCACTGCAGCACGGTGCGTGACACAGTAGAGACTATGACTTTGTCTGTGACTGTTTGTCACACATAGTCATATGTGGGAGTTCAAGACAGCTTGGCACCTTGATAGTAAAGGGGCATGTTTCTGTGATATTCTGATACTGAGATTGAGATGAAATCGTCATGTAAGATTGGAAAGAGGGGCTTGCACCTGTAGCTCAGCGGCTAGGGTGCCAGCCACATACACCTGAGCTGGCAGGTTAGAACCCAGCCCAGGCCTGCCAAACAACAACGACAACTACAATAAAAAAATAGCCGGGCGTTAGGGTGGGCACCTGTAGTCCCAGCTACTTAGGAACCTGAGGCAGCAGAATAGTTTAAGCCCAAGAGTTTGAGGTTGCTGTGAGCTGTGATGTCACAGCACTCAACCCAGGGCGACATAGTGAGACTCTGTCTCAAAAAAAAAATTTGTATATATATATATATATTTGAAGGAGGAAAATGACACTGGTTCTGAGTTGAGAAATTCTGTTGATTAGAGTAGCTGCACAAGCAAAACCAAAGAAACACGTAAATTGTACCTGCTAGGGCCACTTACTTTCCTAAGAAAATAACTGTTTGCATGGCAGACACCTATGGTTTCTGTCCTATAAGGAAATAACTCATCACTATTATCTAGTCTTGAGTTTGAGCCTTTCTAATGATTATCACATAAGCTATCCTTTCGTGTTAAGACTTGTGAAAATTAAAGGGTACAGGTAACAGACTAGTGGTAAGAGGTTTTAAAGATAAGGACTTGGTATTCTGAGTAGGATTAAGTCTGGGTATTTGCTGGAGTTTCTCAAAAGTGAAACTGGGGATGAGAACACTTTTTCCCCATTGCTATTGAGTCTACAGCCTTTCCATTTGAATTCCTTTAGACAAGGTTTGTGTTCTTCCAGTTCTTTATATCCCAAAGTCTATAATTAGAGGCTTTAACTTTCCTTTCCCTTTTTCGCTCCCCTATACAGATCCTGCATTGAAATTCATTATGTCTTCGGGGGGATTATTACCAGTTCTGATTTAATGGGAGTAATTACAGGAAGGTAGTGATAGAAAATAAATACAAGTTTTCAAAATTTTACCTTTTTTTTTTTTTTTGAGACAGATTCTTACTCTATCACCCCTGCCTGGAGTACCATGGTGTCATAGCTCACAACAACCTCAAACTCTTGGAAGAGATTCTCTCGCTTCAACCTCCCAAGTAGCTAGGAGTACAGGCAGACGCCACCTTGCCCAGCTAGTTTTTTCTATTTTTTTTTTTTTTTT